TCTGGGAATAGAACCCAGGTCCTTTGGAAGAACAGCCAGTGCTCTTAGCCACTGAGCCATTTCTGCAAGCCCCACTGACACCAGTTTATGAACCAGAAATGGACAAAGGCAGACTTAATTATTAATGCAGAATGTCTTGTGTTTTCTGGGTGCTGCCTGAAGGTAAGTGTAGCCTCAGCATCCCCCAAGGGGGAGTGAACTAGAGGACTTGTCCCAGGTGGCAAGACTGGTCCATAGCAGCCTGCTGCTTGTGGCTACTGCTTCTCCTCAGGGTCCTGCTGCAGGGAAGCTGTGCCCAGGCCCTACAGCCAGCTAGAGGCAGCTTTCATCCCTGTGAACTGCCTGGGAATGCAGGCATCCTTCTTCTGCTCCTGTGGAGGGCTTGGACCCTTGTGTAACCTTAGGCTTGCAAAGGCCTTGGAATTCCAGCCTGTTGTTTGGACAGCCCTGATTCCTTGGGCAGAGCGGTTGAGATTGGTGACTGGGCTGTGTGTTCAAGCTTTCTTATCAATTCTCAGCAGCTGAGGCTGTCTGGGCTGGAGGATTTTCTGAGTATTTTCCAGAGCTTGGGGAAGTTTGGACCAGGGACTGGGATGGAGATGAAAGTGGGGATTGCTGGGCAGATCATTTCTGTTGGAACTCTCTGGAAGAGTCTCAGAAGAACCACAGAACAGCATCAGTGGGACTGGAATGCTCAGGCTTCCCTGCTGCGGACACACACATTTAGAAGGGATGGTTTCAGGTGCAGTGGGTGAACAATGGTGAAAAAGGATTGACTGGCACTTATTTTGGGAAGAGGATTGCTGGAATGGTAGTGGTCTCCAGTCCCCTCTTTGCCCTCTGTGGAGTATCCATGTCCTTCGTGATGCTGGATCCCGACCTGAGAAAACATCCTGAGATGTCTGTGCTGCCCTGTTTGGTTCCCAGGGGAGTAAGGGACTTGACCTGAAGGTTCTAGGCCACTGTGGATGCTCCACATCCTTCTTTGGCCTCAGCATCTTCTGTGAGCCACTCATGCTTGCAAGCTTCAGGGGAGAGCACTGGCCTGGGACAGGACCCAAGCACAGTGTTGTTAACTGTTAGCTTCGAGGGTCAGGGAGAAAAGAGGCATGTAGGGAGGGGCTGAATGAGGAGATGAAGTATCCAGGTTTTTTTTTGTTTGTTTGTTTTGTTTTGTTTTTTTTTTGTTTGTTTTTTTGATTTGTTTTTCTTGTAAGCTAACAACTCATGTATTTAAAATTTGTTTTTAGATTTTTATCTTATATGTGTGAATGTTTTGCCTGCATGTATGTCTATGTACTACATGTGTGCCTGATGGTGCCACAAGAGGGTGTCAGAGCCCATGGGACTAAAGTTACAGATAGTCATGAACAGCCACGTGGGGGTGCTGGGAATTGAACCCACGTCCTTTAGAAGGGCAGCTAGTGCTCTTAACTGTTGAGCTGTCTGTCCAGCCCCTTACAAGGCAGAGAGGAGTCCTGGGAGGGCTGCTACATATAAGCAAATCAATATTTGCTCAAGGAAGAATTCCATGAAGATGTCATTGATGTTAGTGACAGCGCTTTGGAGGCCACTGTTGGTTCAGGGCTAAGTTCCCTGTTGCCTGTTCAGAAGGCGAGGTGCCAGAGTGGTGGGTGAGGCTGTGGGGAGGGGCATGGCTGGGCTGGTGCTGAAGGAGAAGGCCATGTCTCCTATGGCAGATGGTGGCAGCTCAGGACTGATGGGCCTGATTCCCACACAGAAATCCAGGAAGCCCTGACGTGATTCTCAGTTCTGAGTGACAGCCTGCAGATAGATCGTGATCCTGGTGCTTTGGACAATGTCCACTCTGGCACATCTGAGTGTCAGATGTCACCTGCTGAAGGGTGGTACCAGTCAGGGTACCCTTTACGTAGGGTAATTCATAAGCATCTAAAAAGCGACACCACAAAGTGGACAGAGTGTAATACAAAGAAGAACCACTGGGACATGACTTCTCCCAGGGGCGATGCGGCTACAACAGCCTGGAGGCAGCTGTGTGTGGGGAAGGCTCCTCTGGGGCTGGGGGACCTTGACTGGAGGGCCACAGCCAGCCCTCCACGTCAGAGCCCAAGGTAACGTTTTGGCCTAAAGTCTCCCACTGTGTGAAGCCTACTGGAAGTGGGAGGACCAGGTGTGGGAGACCCGCTCCCTCTTTTATCCCAGGGAACTCTGGAGGAGAGAGAAGTGAGAAATATTTAGATAGAAAGAGATACTTAGACGACGAGAGGAAGGACAGAAACACAGGATAGCCTTGGGAGGGCCTAGGTCAATACCCAACAGCCCCTCCTGTCTCTTCTGAGGGGCTATTATAGAGATGCCTGGGGGTGGAGCAAAAGACCCCCCCCCCAGCAGAGCCAAGGGCAAACCCTTCCAAACACCTGGTAACCATGCATGTGGTCAGTCCATCCCCTTTTGCAGCCCTGCTGTGTAAAGCAAGCTCGGATCTAACTAGGAAACCTCTGTGGGCTCCCACAACCAGGGGCCACCCAGCAAGTGTACTTTTCTGCACAAATTACAGTACCTGCTCGCACTCCCAGGGTGGGGTAAAGATGTGTCTACGTGGTGCAGTCACAGTGGCAGTTGGGGTGGCCAGCCGCTTTATTGTGTGACCCTGGGGACTGAAAGAGAAAAGAGGACTTGTTTCATGCTGTGTCCCCTGCGGCCCTGGGTCCTGGGCCACTTTTCCTACATGCAGAGGGAACAGCAGATCTTGGCACACCCTCCGTGCCCGGGAGGCGAGAAGGGCCGCTGCCTCAGCAGGAGCCCCCAGGGCTGCTCTTCTGAATGCAATAACTACATCTTATCTGCATTCTTCATCCCTTCAAAAATATTTACTTTCAGCTTGGCGTTTTTTGCTTATTCTGCACAATTCCAACAGCAGAAAGCTGAGGTCCCTGGAGGTGATGATCCAGAGCCGGCAGACATGGCTCCTCCCACCCGCCGTGGTGACCCCACCAGCCCTGGGTCTGGCCCATCAGTCTTTCGGTGGCACTGGTTACAGTGTACCGGGGTCGGGTGGGGATTTGGGGGGTGGACAAGGGACAGGCACAGCAGAGTCCAGGCCCTCAGCTGGCAGGTTCTGACCCGCGATCCAAGCGGGTGTGTTTGCTGCTTGGGGGGTGAGCCATAGGAGACTGGAGAGGGCCTTGCCTTCAGCGGAGTCCTGGGTGCTGTGGGAGCCTCCCTTGGCTCAGTGCCTGGCTGCAGAGGGCAGAGGCTGCTAGGTCAGCCTGGCTTGCTGTCAGAAGCCGGGAAAACTGTTGTTGCTTTCGTTTAGTGTCTCGTTTCAGTCGGTGTGTTCACCCCTCTCCCTACCGTGCCACAGAGCTGCCCCTACCTCAGGTTCAGGAGCCAGGCTCCCTCCACGGTTCCACAAAACTGGGGAGCCGTTGCCCAATAGCTCCACGTGGCTCTCAGGTGCTTTTTCACGGTTCGATTTATGGTTCACTCCTGCACTTGACCCACTGTGTCGATGGGATGTCGGCAGCTGGGCGCTGCTGGAGCGGTTGCTCTGGGCCTCAGCCAGCCTTGGCTCACGGGCCTTAGGAGCCATGGGTGGTGACGCCCATCCAGGGTTATTAGGGGGCTATGGGAGGTAACTCCCACACAAAGTCGTTAGGGGGGCCTGGAGTCATGCCATGCCAGTACCCGGTAGGCCTGGCCCACCTTGGTTGCCTTTCTTGGGGTGTCTCAGCTCCCAAGAGGCGTTTGGAAGAGGGAGGCAGACTGGTCTCAGGGAAAGTTTGTTGACAACTTTAAGAAATATTTATAAACTCTGGCAAAAATCTGGACTATGTTTTGCCAAACAGATTTGCCCTCAGCTTTTTCATCAACTTGTGTATTCGGGGAAACACAATCTGCCATTTCTTACGGGTTTACTTAATTCTTGCATTGTTTTCAGAGCAGCCTGGCATGCACTCTCCCGGAAGACTGAGAGTTTTTATTAAAATTCTCTTTCTTAGAACCCAGGAAGTCAAGTTCTTCCAAGCTAAGTTTAACCCAGGACCTAAAAAAAAAAAGTTAACAAGCTTGATCCTGCCGGAGAGATTGCTAAAATTCCTGTTTGCCTGACTCCAGCTATGAAAAGAAATTCTCAAATGAGATTAAAGACCTGGGTGTGGCGGCACATGCTTTTAATCCCAATGGTGGGAGGTAGATTTAGGAGAGCCAGGAGTTCAAGGCCAGCCTGGGCTACATGAAAAAAGTCTCAAAATAAAAGGGGAGCTGGTCAGTGAGTCAGGGGGCCTGCTGCTCGGCTGGGAGGGTCTGAATTCAGATCTCCAGACCCCAGGTAAGAAGCTGAGGGTGCTTTTTTGCAGACTACTGTGACCTCCAGTGCTGTGCAAGATGGACACAGGAGGATCGCTGGGGCCTGTCCTCGCCCAGCTCCAGGTTCAGTGAGAGACTCTCAAGAGAACACACAGAGTGGGAGAGCAGACTAGACAGTCCTTTTCCATGTGTCCACTGGCGCGTGTACACACACACACACACAGAGAGAGAGAGAGAGAGAGAGAGAGAGAGAGAGAGAGAGAGAGAGAGAGGTTTAAAAATCACAAAAGGGAGCTGGGTAGTGGTGGCACACACTTTTAACCCCAGCACTCGGGAGGCAGAGGCAAGCAGATCTCTGAGTTCGAAGCCAGCCTGGTCTACAGAGTGAATCCCAGAACAGCCAGGACTGCTTTACAGAGAAAAACCTGTCTTGAAAACAAACAAACAACACAAAAGGGCCAGTCTCACTGG